TGATTGTGTCTTTGTAGTTGTGTTTGTAGTTGTGTGTTTGTGATTGTGTTTGTGATTGTGGGCTTGTGATTGTGTTTGTGGTTGTGTGTTTGTGGTTGCGCGTTTGTGGTCGTGTGTTTGTGATTGTGTGTTTGTGGATTTTATCTGGCAAACTATCTGGTTGAGGTCCAGCGGTGCACACTGCGATCGGATCCTTGCGGTTGAGGTCCAGCGGTGCACACTGCGATCGGATCCTTGCGGTTGAGGTCCAGGCGTGCACACTGCGATCGGATCCTTGCGGTTGAGGTCCAGGGATGCACACTGCGATCGGATCCTTGCGGTTGAGGTCCAGGGGTGCACACTGCGAGGGGATCCTTGCGGTTGAGGTCCAGGGGTGCACACTGCGATCCGGAGCTGGCCAGACAAGATCGGCGAAGCAGATTGGCGAGGAAGGAAGCAAGGAGGAAGGAGGAAGGAGGAGGACGAGGAGGCGGCGGAGGCGGAGGCCGAGGCGGAGGCGGAGGCGGAGGAAGAACAGCTGTGATAAAATCTAACAACCCTCACCTGGCAGGTGGGGAACTTACTACCGACGTACACAACCGGAGTTCGTGCCACGACATCTGCCCCTCAGATTGCTAAGCCTACGAGCAAATGTAAGCAGCTAGCTTTATTGTGGTCGTCCGCTTCATGCCCAGCTTCTCTGATATTGCCTTGCGGATACGTGTCACCACAAAATGGCAAAAAAGTCCCACAATGTGAGATTGAAGGCAGCTGCCTGTTTGACCTTGCGCATGGTGGCATCTGCAGGAACAGTTACCTGGCATTTGTAAAGTGAGATCTGGAAATTCTTGGCCCTACCATTTCGTTGCGGCCTTTATTGAAGGTGCAGGAGCTTCAAACTCTTCGTCAACTGCTTGACGAACAGTTATGGTAACCTTAGCCATCCAAAACCTGTTCGCACAGTTGTATATGCCATATGCCTTCACTGCACAAGCACGGCTGGGCACGTTTTGTAGGGGCCACGCAGGTGCTTTTGAAACTTTTCCCTTTGCGGTTTCCTGCTTGAGCTCTTGATATCTCTTGATCTGTTTTTTTGAATCCGATGCAATTCTGTGTCCTTCTCCTCAACTAAACCAAACATAACACAGCTTGGTCCTGCCGAAATGGTTGCTGCTCAGCAGTTTTGGGTTCCGCCTTCCAAGATTCCAACCGGAAAGCGGCAAAAGGAAGCTGGATTTGCACTGACCTACTTTACATGTTCAAAAGCTGTCAGATCAATTCCACAGGACAATTTATAAGTGTAGAAGAAAACAGAGCAACACTAGGGGAGTTCCTCAATACCTTGTCAAACTATGTCAAACTTGCTTCAATCGCCTGATCAGGTTTCTTTTGCTTGATTGGAGCAGCAATCATTCCCCCTGCATGCGGTGCTTGCCAAAAGCTATCGAGCACAAGTTGATGCACAGTGCCCCGAATGCTGAAAGGAAATCAAACACATGCATCAAACAACTCTTACTACTGCATACTTCTGCACCATTTTGCACCTTACACAACGAGCGAGCTGCCAAAACACCTCGATACATCTTCACATAGTCTCCATCTCATCAGATTCTTTTGGTGCGGCCAAATCCACATCTGCTATGTCAACACCGCGCTCAACGGCAAAGTCTCGCAGCCGCTTCAGGTCTAATTCCAACCCTCGGACTGCCTGCTCAACTTGGCTGTTGTCCTGCTGATATTGTTCGAGTTCACGCGTGAGCTTTCGCAGGTCGTTGCCACAGGAAACCTGGTCCAGCTTCCGCTTCTTGTTGACCTCTTCTCGAGCTGCTCTGAGCTCAGTGGCCTCTTTCCCAAGAAGCTTCTCAGCACCACGGATCAGAATGTTGTGAGCTATCCACGCCTTCTTGCCCCATTGTTCTAGGAGTTCAAGATTTAGTGCCTTTATTCGAGTATACTCAAAGTTCATCTTAGTTGTGGAAGTAATTCTCTTCCAGGCGTCCTCGTCTTCTGCTGCTTCCCCTTCTGGCCGTTCCACTTCATATTTTTTTCAACTCAATGGCCCCCAAAGGTTGCCGCATTGAAACTCTGGAGAATTCCTCCTGCATCTTTGAGCTGTTCAGCAACGGCAGTTCTGGAGCAGGCAATGATGCCAAGTAGTCCCTTGGCTCAAACTGAGTCATCTCCTCTTCAATCAAGGCCTTCACTTGCTGAGCTACTTCTGCAGCTCCAAGCTGAGTGTCTATGTAGGGCAAGGCATCCACCAAAGAGAAGTGCTCATTCTCCATATACAGCAGCTCCTCCATTGTTTGACAATTGCACGGCTTCGGGCCGATTCGAGCTCGAAGCTTTGTTTGAGCCAACGGTCGTAGGCGGCATCAATGCTTTATGCTGCATCTTTCAGAGCCTTGGACTTTACAGCTTCGCACTTCAAAACAAGTTGATCTTTGCAGATCCGCACTGAGCCTGAAGTAATACGGAGGAGTTTGTCAATCTCTAGGCTGAGGGAGTACACTTCGGGCGTATGCGCAACCTTGGCAGCATGACGAATCCAGCACCTTCGTTTAATGTGGGCTGATGTCTTTGCCACGAAGGCACTTTTCCGAAAGCAGTCATCATGTTTTGGGCTGCAAAGTCTCCTTCAAAGCCCCACCTGATGCATGTCAAGCGCAAACATGCTGATATGCGATTTCCCCGGTGTCCATTGGATTACGAGGGGTGCATTCAATATATACTACCAAATACTGTTGAAAAGGATCTATCTGGAGGAATTGGAAGCTCAGCACATTTACGTACCAAACCTTTGGAGAACCATGAAGAAAGGGATACAGGTCAAACCCAGCCTTGCTAGGCACTCTTTCTGTGCCATGCGCACAAGCTTGCCAAATGCCTGCATCATCTGCATCCAACAAACAAAAACACAACAAGGGGCATGGCCAAGGTTGTTGTGAGAGCTCATAAATGCAGTCTAGCTAGTGACGTGTTCAAACTTACCTTTCTTTGTATTGCTTTGTTTTGCCGACAAAACCACCAAAGAAGTCCAACAGAACTGTTCAGGAGAGACTTGATCAGCTGGACTAAGAATTGCGAATCTAGGTTCTAGCTTACAGGCAGTGAAGAAGCAAGTAGATTCAGTAGTTCGTAATCTTAAGTACCTACTAAAGACTGTGACTGAACGCAGAAGGGCTCAGGTTCGCATGATTGATTTGGTTCCTAGGTGATGAGGACAACTTGACTTCGTAAAGGATCAGCGTGGAGTTCCGCAGATTCATTTTCCAATGTTCATTGGGGGAGGCACCAATCTCCTTGGATTCATCGGTAGTTTCCGGTCTGCACGGCATTGACATTGGCAGATTTGTCCAAACTGAAATACCTGCCCCTCCTCCTTTAATGAAGTCGGTTACAAAATTGAAACAGAAGTCAGAAACAGGAGTCTGAGGTTGTGTGTGCTTTGGCAGGATGCCAAACACGTTGATGTTGCTTTAGTGTTAAGGCTTAGGACCTTAAGGTGTTCACTGGGCTATACAGCTGACTCTGTGCAGGAATCACAAGTGTCGCTTAATCCTGCTTAACCCAAGCACCAATCAACTACATGCAACCTAGAGTTTGCATTTTGCATTGCCAGAAAAAGCCTGCAAATGAAGCGATTGCCATAAATAAAGGATGTTAATAAAGCTTGGTTGGCATCACAATGGCAAAGTTTGTCAGCACTCCAGAAGCTACAGTCAAAGAAATTGATCTTTACAGCGTTCATTGTGCTCTAGCTTCTTGACTGTTTCTGGGCCTCCGGAGTACCAAACAAAATAAATGACACACAGCGGGTTGGCAAAGCTCTGCAGCAAACTAGACATTTTTTACGGGAATGCTGAGCATGCTGTCTTTCTGTACACCATTCACGTGGCCGACACCGAATCAACTATCACAAGATCAACAACCACGCGGGTAATATGACATTGGTGAATACCATTGTGAGATCAATGTTTGGCTCAATCTGTCACATCGAATCAACTCCTCAAAGGTCTTGGACCTCAAGCCAAATTTTGATAATGCGCCTCCCGGAATTTCATCTGGGTTATTGACTCCGGCCTCGGAATTCAAGAAACGACCATTGGCCATAGCTTCGCTGTCCTTCAATGCGCGATAGTTTGATTTGGAACTCCTCAGGCCTAAGCCTATAGATCTGGTAGTCAAGTCCATGACAGTTCTCTATTGCCAATACACAAACTGTTTCGGTTGGACGGCTTGCAAGCTCCGGCTCTGACATTGGATATGTGCTCAACAAGCCGTCAAGGTCTGCCTGGAACTTCGGCCTGACGGTGGTGTTCAATGGTGCTTCTGTGGATTTTTGCTGTCATGCCAGCTTTGCACGGAAAAGTTCCAGGGTTGGTCGCTTCCGCAGCAAAGGCACAAACCCTCGAGGCTTTTAACTTGACCACTGGACTACTCAATCGAGCTCCAAGAAACATATAGAAACATGTTAATTTTCTCTAAAAGTCTAGGAACCAAATCATTAGTGCGCTTCTTCAAGGAAGCTACCCCCGCCACCTTTAGGGCAGCGGGGGAGCTTCCTTGAAGAAGCGTGAGCTATCCAGCATCCTGTCAGTAGTAGCTTTAGCTACTACTAGCTACCTCTGCACGGCCTACCCCCCCTTAAAAGAAGGGACAAGTGATCTGGACAATTTGTCCAAAGTCCGTGTGTGCTCCGCTTGGCTTTGTGCTCACTGTAAGCAACGATGAGGTCACGCTGAAGCTGTAAAGCCTCAGACTGCGCCAGCACCACACAGTCCATTCAGAAGCCGCTTTCGATTGCCTGATCCAGGCTCAAGTAGATAAGGACGGTGGTGCCATTCACATAGATTCTTCTCCTAGGACACAAATATTGAAACTGCGACAAATATTGCTAATCTATGAAATATCATGAAATATACATGAAAGTGCTGTGCTGCAAAGTCGGTGGTGCAGCTCTCCTGCCATTGAGCAACTCGTCTGTGGCCAACGCTTCAAACCGGCGAGCTGAGCCCGTGAACTTCTGGTGTCCAACTTGTATCTCCTTGCGTGTGAAAGCACTAGCTTGAGATACAAGTTGGAATTCTGAGCTTTACAGAGCTCCTTTTCTTTGACTCGCAGTTCCCGGGCCACCTCTCCGGTGATGGAGCAAGCAGCAAGCATTGTCTTGTGTTGATTTACGTGCCACGAATGGGAACTCCCAATGATCTCGCCTTCTTCCTGACAGTCTCCATACTCGCGGTGTCCAGTACCTGCACCATCTAAACGTCGAACATGTGTAGGAAAAATAATGGCAATACGGCCCTTTGAAGGGTTGAAACAGGTTGATCATTATAGTCATGACTAACTATTTACAGTATATATACAGTATACTATAATAATATGATCATCGGTTCACCTTTCCACAGACGTGTAACCAACTGCAAAATGAACTGTGGCAGTCATGCACTTCAAGCTGCTTCATGTAAAGAGTATTAGCATGTAGAGAGTACTGTCTAATTTGCGTATTTTATGTTTCATGGTGCATGTTTTTTGCCGTCCAACCACCGGCCTTTCGTGACTGAGGTTTCCCTTTCACGGAATCTCTCTTTTGCAGTCTTTTGAGTGTTCATCAAAAGACATGCATTGACGGATGACCCCGATATAAATAGCTTGTGGCTTAGTTGCTACAGGAAAAGGATGATGTTAGTGTTTTAAAGAGGCTCGGTGATCTCTGTTTTGAGCTTTGAGCTACTGTATCCGAGCCGTGATTAGTTCATGTTTCCGTAGCTGGAACAAACTTCCAGTCAATGCATAAACTAGGTAGCCACCACTCGAACTTCAAAGGCAGTGGTCGCTTACAAACCTGGAGCTGGGAAACAAAATGGCTACCAGCCGCTACTAGCACTGACGAAAGAAACAACCAAGGAGTGGAAATCGTCCTGGTTCTTGGGTGTCCGTTTACCAACTGAGAGTAATAGCACTACCACTCGAGCTTGAAAGGTGACGCACCTGTCAGCAAATGCAGCTATAATTGAATTGATTGTTAAAGTCTTGTCTATCGCGGATTTGAGTTACATTTTATACTAAACAGTAACTAATGGTTCGTCTGTCTGTAGTGTTGTCTGGGCCTCTTGGAATAGCTCTATCCCGTCTACAATCTGGTCTACTAGATCTGGCAAATGGTGCAACAGAATTTATAAAAAGTAGACTCAGCTGCCACACAGGAGGGGAAAAAAACTATCTAATTCCTTGTCTAGTGTTAGCAAGGACATGATTTTTTCTTTGAGTCTTCACTGGACAGTCTTAGTAATGTTTTAGCCTCAGTCATTGCCGTTGCCAATGAAAATACAACATAATACAACAGCTTGGACATTGCTAAGATTTCTCTTAGACTCAACAATTGTTTCGGCACTCTGACCGCGGCACTCCGAGAGAAAGGCCTATAAATACACGTGTTTTAAACATGTATTAAACGCGATCATTGCCTCCACATGAAGTCTCGCTCCGGTTCGATGGTCTCTCACCTCCACTGCAGCTGTCCCAATGTTGTTGCTGTTTTTTTCCCGGAGGGCCGTTCTCAGAATCAGAACTACTGGACAAAATCAAACAGAATCAGTCACTGGCATGGACACTTCGGTATGTGAAGCAGTGCTCAATCAACCTGCACTAGTTTTGGAATGGCTGGCCGCTCCACCATTGCCTCAAGTTTCACAGTCTTTGGTGGCCCCAAAGATACGCCAATGCAGAACAAAGCCTGGCCGGAGCTCCCACACACTGCTCATAGTGTAATCGCATGTTGGTGCATGTTGCAAGCATCCCACAGAGCTTGCCCGTGTGCAATCCTACAGCTTTGAAGGGCTAATTATGAATTTGTCTGATACTCGAGGAAGAACAAGTGGTGTGACAGAACATCTGGGCAATTCCTTGCAGCTTGCTCCAGCTGCACCAATGAGTAATGAATAGTGACTACAAGCAAGTGCTGCCGTAGAGAGCTGCAGTCTCAGCCTGGTCTGACACAAAGCGATGGTCATCCTCCAAGATGCAGCCCTTTGCATCACAAAGATCGATGCTCTCCGGCCTCAGAAGGAACACTTTAAATGATTTGAGGCGCCGCAGTGCACTGCATCATTATGCTAGCTGACTACATGTTGCCTGCGGATTGAAAACCGAATGGAACCACAGTGAGAGCACATTTTGCCCTGAAAGGCGGACTTCAAGAAACAGGACAATCGGTATGGGACTATAGTGAAACAAACATTTTTTGCAAAGCACAGGAAAATTTCAGCGTCAACAGCTTGTAAACTCAATGCAACAATGCAAAAGCTCAGTTTTCAGCCCGGCGGGACCCTTTTGGCTGAGACTCTTGCGGCCCCCTCTTTAGCCTCTTGCACATTGCACGCTTTAGCCCCATCACACTCCTAGCCAGGCACATTAAACATGGAACGAAAAGCAAACTAATAGTAAACAGCAATAGAATCTATGGGCCAAAGTCCGACAATGTCCAACTAGTTGATACATGTCGCGATGTTTGATGCATAATTTCATAATCATGCTGCTTCTGCTTGCTTGCTTCCCAAATTCCAACCATTCAAAATGCAGCTGCCCTCTGAGGACAGCTCGTACCGGGGTTCATCGTCATCCGAATCTCTTCAGCATTGATGGCATGGACGACCTTGCTTCAACTCACCAGGCTTCGCTATGAGAGCATCAAAAGTAGAAAGAGCTTCAAGAGCTCAAAAACCTCAGGCCTTGAAGTTCACCTTGCACAGTCACTGGATTTCACAGGCATTCAATTGAGTTAATTTCAATTGAGCGGTGTCAAAAACCATCCGGAACTTTTATTAAGATTATAACAACCTTTCGCCAATCCCTTCGCAACGCTTTCGCGGCTGCATGTTTTGCTTTCGCCGACCCACTTCACCCGACAACCTCTTTAGCTAACCCTTTCGCCGAGTTTCTGCTACTTACATCTAAGAAAAGTATCAGCAAAGGGGAATCATTCCTAATCTGCAACCACTGCTTTCGCCACATCTTCGCGAACCTTTCGCCAACCTTTCGCCTGGTTATCAGGAATCTTTGGATGACATGCTTTGTACTGAAAACCTCTTCGCCAACCCTTTCGCAACAAAATCCATTCATCAAAAAATCAGAGCCTTTCTCCAAACCTTTCGCCAAGCTTTCCCCAACTGCAGTTTTCCTTTCGCACAGATTCATAATCTTAAGTCCTACCTAAATTCTTTCATAGAGGTTTATGACGTTGCTCAATTCACATCCGGCACCTCCTTCTGGGCCCTGGAACCGTTGGAGCCTGTGAAGAGAGTCAAACATGGATGGCTGGATGGCCATGGTCTCAAATGACTATTCTGATGCAAGTTCATAGAGTTGTGCCGGACCTCCTGGCCATGCTTCCTCAGTTTCGTAAAAGTTAGGTCTTTGTGGTTGAAGATGTGAATTCAACGTGTTATCTCAAGGTTGGCTGACAAATTCTGAAGACTCCTGCTTTTGCAGCGCAATCAAATTTGGATCAACTGGCATAGAGTGGCGGAGAGTTTGCCAAACCAAGCTTCCCTCCGCGCGCCCTCTGATGGTGCTGTTGTGCGCGGCCTCAGCAAAAATATAAGCTGCTCTAGTGCAAATGGCCAAATTCCAATCATTACAAAGTTTGGACATGCCAACAAACAATATGACAAACCATATTGTAGTAAGATCATATACTGTAAGACTGTAGTATTAATATTATATATATATCATAGATTGCTATAATATACTGACTTCCGCAGCATCCCACCTTCTTTACAGAAGTGTACCGAACGGTCCTTTGTATATAGCACAGTCAGCAAATGGCCCAGCAAAGGGGTTGCTGCGTCATAGCTGGGGGCACGTGCCCTTGCGAGCTGACTGAGGCTGCCTTGTTCCTCCAACACATCATTGACCAACTCCAGGATAAACAACAGCGTGCTCACACCCAATTTGCTCACGAGCTTTGGTAAAAGGAAAACCACCCGAGGCTCGATATGAGGTGTCCTTGCTGTGTGATTGTATGATGCTCTTTTTCCTGGCTGCTCTTCTCGAGGAAAAAGGAACTAAAAGACTGCCAGCCATAGAAACTTCATGGAACCCGCCTTCGTCACCAAGTACTTCGTAAGCTGTAGACAACAACTTGAAAGCGGCCTGTTTTTCAATGAAGTTCATTGAAGTTCCATCCCAAATGCTTGAATCAATTGCTGCGCAAAAAGGCCAGTGAGACAGTAACACGTGCTATCACATACTGATACTACGCAAATACTGCTTTGATCCTCTTTGCATCACAAGGATTCAGAAGCTTCGTATCTTCTCCGGAGTCAGGGTCAGAATGTTCATAGGAAACCAGCAAAGCGTGGGTGCATTAGTGGCTCCCTGCTCAGGAGGAGTCACTAAGGTTGAACTATCTTTACTCTACCTACGTCTATATACTTGACTCATGTCTCAACTCTTGTTCACTCTTGTCTCTACTGATGCCTAAATGTATCTACCTTTTCTTGACTTTTTACGATCTTGCTCTTGGTTGCGGTGCTGAATTCTACTTGTTTCTACTTTTCTACTTCTCTCTACATCTCTCAACTGTTCCCTCCTTTTTGCATAGTGTTCTGCTTTCCTCTAGTTACTTTCCTTCGTTTGTGTCAACCCTTTGTATAAATATAGACGTTTTTCTAGACTGCTCTATGTTTATCGACCCATTTGTTCACTTTCCTATAATTTACTGTTATTATAGTTTTCCACACTTTTGCGTATATTAATTGCTCTTTTCTCCGTCTCTTTATGCTTTCTTCTTACCTCTCCGTTTCCCTGTGTTTCTCCTATTTTTTGTGCCTTCTCTTAATTATCTCTTACGGCTCTGCAGTACCCTTTCTCCATTGCCTTGCTCTACTATTCTCTCTATGCTTCCCTCTGCTAGTCTCCTGTTGTCTCTACTTGTCTCTTCGTCTCTTTGCATTGTGTCCAAATTGTTTTGTACACCAAGTGGCATCATGCTTCTAGGGGCATGTTCCGGAACTTGTACACAACTATATACTGTACATATTTTTCAAGAAATAGATCTACTGATCTACTATGTGTACACGTCCGCAAATCCCTTCTGGCACTACTTGTTCAGGACTCAAAGGGCATCGCTGCATCGTTGGTAGACCTTGATAAATCTCACTTCGGTATCATAAAGAGCTAAGAAAAGCAGTGTTGGAAAGATTGGAAAATAATAGGAGCAAGGGAACTGAACACGATGCAAACTGCGCACATCTTTGCAGCCGTTGGTCTTGCCATGTCTTGCCCTATAAGCTCGCAAGACTCAAGCCCAAAACAAGTGCGCGCGTGAATCTACAATGATCTACAATGTATTAATCAGAAACGACAGGGAAGGAATGCAGCGAAGGGCAAAAGACAGCAGGCGAGGACAAACAGTTTACGGCTTGACCCAGCCTCTGCCTCGGTCAGTAGGTCTGAATCCCCCCCCGCCAGGGCACACCTGTGAAAAGCTGCGACAAACTTGAACTAGCCAAAAAGATAAAGACATGATCGCAAAACGTGTTTTGTTGCGGGTCAGGCGGTCCTTGACTTGAAACAACTTTCCTTTTGACTCAAACACAGGATGAACACTGCACAAAACCCTCTGTGTGGCCTTGTCTGGGTGAATTCGCAGTGCAATCTGACGGTATGCGTTCCGGATGTCCTTAAATCACTTGTGCTCGAGGATCAGTGATCTCATATGACTGATTGGAACCCATGCTTCACCATGTTTGTTTTGAGCGTCCTTGGTCGCCGCAGATGGCTTCACTCCAAGGGTCTCATAGAAGTTTCTTGCTTTCGTCACCTCGAGGCTTTCTTTCACACAGTGATGCGACTATGCGATGCGCCCCGGGAGTGCCTGTCGGATGACATAGTTGGCCTTCGCGGTTCCAGCCTACGAAGATTGCTGCATAAAGCACTATGTTTTCAAACCACTGAGGTACTGAGTGAGTTTATGGCAGGTGCATCATCTGGCTGCCATGGGTCGCAAGGTATCCTTGGCACCAAGAAGTGTGCAGTCGCAAGTGTTGTTCAAACATTATAGCAAGGATGGCACAATTTGTTGTGCATTCTGACTTGTGCGCTGATGTGTTCCAACCTGTAAATCCTGTAATATTGAAAGCCAGGGCTGGTTTCTTCCAGGAAAACACTCCTACAGCATCATACAGTATCTCTATATAGAACACATTAATTAAGGAGAACTTGACGACAAGCTGGAAACTGTCAAAGCTAAAACCATGTCAGGAAGTTGGATCATGATGGTGCGGCAAACGGTTTGAACGTCGTGTCTTCCGGAGTGCGATTCTCACTGCAGCAGAAAAGGGGAAAGGCAGACGCAGTTGGCAAAACTAACAAACTAAAAACACGCGAACACGCGAGGATCAGAGCATGCTACACAGCAGTTTCGAACGTCTCATCGTGTGCACAGCAAATATCAAACCCTTGGTGGGAGGACGGTCTGGTTGCAAAGTGAAAGCGTTCACGACCGGTGAGCATTTTCACCGATCTCTGGTTGCTCTAACTCAGTAGATGATAATCTGGACTAATGGGGGATGTGGGGCACTTACCTTTGAAGTGGCAAAGTCCTACGACATTGCTGGTGGAGTGGTATGCCTAGCACGCTTCTTTGCTGGTGAAGTTGTAGTTCAGTAGTTCATTATTCATCATTATTTTTCAATATTTTTTCATACCGTTGAAACAATAGGTCTTTGCAGGGGTAAGGTGGTAGACTCTTACCTCTGCTGACAGAGTACGCTTTCACCACTGGTTGAGGCTGGTGAAGTGGCAAACAAATCCGAAGCATATGCGAATATGCGACTGATCACAGCCCCACTGCACAGTGAACATGCTACGCAGTTGCATGGTGTCAGAGGAGGAACTGCCATAGGAATCAATCCTGACACCCCTTGAGGGTATCTATTGATCCGCCAATATAGTAAGGGGATAATAGGGAGTGTTGTTAAATTTGATCGAATCAATGCTTCGACCCTGTCAGTTCAACCCTTGCCTCGTGAAACAAACTGAAGGCAGGATTTCAGAAGCGACCTTTCGTCAAATTAAATGTTGCCTGAGTCTCTTCAGGCTTGGGGAATCTTGGAGGTAGGTGTAATGTGGTGCCGGCAAACCAGTTTCATTTTGTTTGAAGCGCTTGGACTTTAGGCGGCAAATAGGGGAAGATTATGCTCAGCAAGCAACAAGGATACCAGATTCGACAAACGGTAGTGTTCACCATTGAGTATGCAACAAGATGTGAAAACAAGATGGAACCAGAATGCAACCACGTACTCAAACACAAGCACCCAAACAATTCTTGACACTCTTTGAGACACTTGTGTGGGACACTCTTGTAGGACACATGTTTTTCGGTAACCTTGGTGGGACACTCTTGTGCACTCTTGTGGGACACCTTGTATCACACTCACTCTTGTGGAACGCTCTTGCGCAACACTCTTGTAGGACACTCTTGTGGGGCTCCCTTGTAGGAAGCTCTTGTAGGACACCCTTGTCGGACACTCTCGTGAGACACTCTTGTAGGACACTCTTGCGGGACACTCTTGTATAATACTCACTCCTGCGGGGCACTCTTGCGGAACACGCTCTTGAAAAACTCTCTTGTAATCTTGTAGGATACTCTTGTGGGACACTCTTGTATAGGGCAATCTTTTTGGACGCTCTTGTGGGACACCCTTGCGGGACACTCTGGTAGGACACTCTTGTCGGGCACTCTTGATTGTCGCTCTTGTGAGACACTCTTGTAGGACACCTTGCAAGACACCCTTGGGGGACACTCTTATACGTCACATTACGTCACTCTTGCGGGACACTCTCGTAGGACAGTCTTCTCGGACACCCTTGTGGAGCACTCTTTTGTAGGACACACTTGTGGGACATCCTTGCAGGACACTCTTGTAAGGCACTCTTGTCGAGCACTCTTGCGGGACACTCTTGTGGGACACTCTTGCGGAACACTCTTGAGGTCACTCTGTCGGGGCACTTTTGTATGGCATTCTGGTGGGACACACCCTCTTACTCTTGTGGGACACTCTTGTGGGACGCACTTGCGGCGCACTCTTGTAGGACACTCTTGTAGGACACTCCTGCAGGACTCTGTAGGACACTCTTGTCGGACACTCTTGTGGGGGACTACGAACGTCTTCAGAAGTCAACCGGCACGTCTAGCTCAGAACAAGTCGTACGAGACTTCCTCCAAAAGTCACACGTCAAGTTTCCAAAACGAGCATTTCGGGTGAGAATTGCAAAATTCACGCGTCAAGTCCCCAAAACGAGCGTTTGGCACGAGACTTCCTCAAAAACTCACACTTGAAGTCTGCAAAACGAGCGTTTCGTACGAGACGTCCTCCAAAAGTCCCACTTCAAGTCTGCAAAACGAGCGTTTCGTACGAGACTTCCTCCAAAAGTCGCACGTCAAGTCTCCAAAACGAGCATTTCGCACGAGACTTCTTCCAAAATTCATTCGTCAAGTCTCCTATAAACGAGCGTTTCGCGCGAGACATGCTCAAAATCCTCCAACTCACAGTTGAAGTCTGCAAAACAAGCGTTTCGCACGAGACTTCCTCCAAAAGTCACGCGACGAGACCCCCTCCAAAAGTCACACGTCAAAGTCTCCAAAACGGGCATTTCGTGCGAGACTTCCTCCAAAAGTCAGGCGGAGGGAGCTCCATCGGAGCACACACAAGCAGCCCTGCCAATCAGCTTTGCGATTCCAGCCCCTCCAAGCGACCCGCCCGCACGCCGACCCCAATGTCACAGCGACACTCACCTCCACACCTTGCAACCTCACGATTGCCTGCGCCTGCCACGAAAATCGCGCTTCCACACCTCAAAGCCCGCACAAAGTACTGCGCCTGCCACGAAAAGTGACAATATCATATCATGTTAGCTTCAGCAAGTTTTGCACCACACCACACGCTTGGAATTACTTCGACGCGTTCTGAGCACACTCCATCCACCAAAGTCGCCATTTCAGCTGAGACTTGTCACGAAAGCACAGCTTCGATGCAACACCCTGAAACGCAAATCCCAATGTCACAGCCACATCCAACACCCCAAAAAACACCACTGTCCAAACGCCAATCCCAATGTGGCTGCAAAGAAAACTCACCATGTCACAAAACGCTGCGCCTGCGCAGTGAAATCATCCTCCACACTTCATCACACTTCAACATCTCACGTTTCCCTCGCTATTTCACACGAATCTGACACGTCATGCTTCCATCCAAAACCCTCTCCAAAAGCTTCACCCAATGTCAGCGCCTTAGCGCCCCACTGCGAACGGTTGCAGATGGTTGCGGACGGCTGACAACGATTGCGATTGCTACGACAACGAGTCGCGAACAAGGCTCTACCCCCAGACCCCCAGAGTTAAACGAGAACCCTTCGCTAGGCATTCGGGAAAAATAAAAAGATCTGATCTGTAATGCAAGACAGCACGACGTAAAAGTCATTCTTTCTGCCCGCTTTGACCGAAGATTCTCCAGGACAAGGTCTGGCTTCTTGTTGAACTTGTTGGCTTGTCGTCTCTGATCTTCCCTCTTCCTGCAAGACATTTCGGTAGTGCATGCGCCAGAACGCAGAATCCTTCCGTGCCTGCGCTCTGCATTCTCCTTCGACCATTGAGCATGTGACTTCCTCAGAACACAAAGGGCTTTACATCACAACAATTCCTTAACTCTTTGTTACTAGTAGCGAACCTTGCTCCTAGCAGTAAGGCCAGGAGCCCCTAGGAAGTACCGTCCTTGCTCCTAGTAGCGATGCCCTTTGCTCCTAGTAGCGTCCAAGGCCTTTCTTGGAGCCAAGATTCCCATACTCACCGACGATTTCATGACTCGTACAGGCACAGCCACATCGCCGGCAAAGCACCTGACAAACTCTTGTGGAAAGGACAAAGCCCAGTCGAACTATAGCAAGGCCTGATCCAAATGCATCAAGTAGGAATACTTCGACAAAATGAAGCTCTGGCAGTACTGGCCTAGAGCACACAACTTGAGGCGTAAACTGGCAAACTAAGCTGCTAGAATGCAAGGTGAAGCTGGTGGTGTTCCCAGTTACAGACAAGGAGCAACCTCTGCAGCGGCCACGAATTCTCGCCTACCCGAATTGCATCGAATGGCCAGTGACATTGAACAAGCAGAATGATTGATCACAAGGCTCCAACCAGTGGGTCAAACGTCATGGAGGTCTGCTCCACCTCATGTCTTGTACACTGCACAGTCTGTGTCAAGACTCACACTCAGCTTCAGTGTCCCCTGTAGTGCCCCAAACTCAAACAAGGGCTCACGCCGTGTCCACTGCAGCGCCTGTGAAAAAGGAGTAGAATTGTAAAAACAAATGACGAAGGTCCAATTGCTGAGAAACTTGGCCGGACCTGTCTGAACTTCTGTCCACTCGCTGCAGATCTGCGGGTAGTGCGTCAAGTGTTATCAATAGCCAGGGGGGTCAAACGAAACATTGAAGTTTCAGATTATTGAAGCTTGCTTGCCTGTGCACAAATGCTCTTCGGATCGCTGACTTGCATCCCCGGAATCATGACAAAAGCCGTGACCCTGCAGAAGCAACGACCCATCGGATGCAATGGAAAGAATGACCCATCGGTCTGGCGGTCTGCTCCTGATGAAGTAGGTGGAGTCGGCAGTCAAGCCCTGAATCTTACCTTCCAAGCTTGCAGGCGGACTGCCGGCAGGCTTGCTTGCTGATGCTTGCAACTGCACTCAAGCCTGTAGTAGATCTGGTCTTGTCCAACGCCGTGTTTGCACGTTTCTTTTCCTGTGTGTGCATGCCAGAATCTGTGGTTGCGCAAATTACAGAGTTCCCAGCAGTTTTGCAGTTTCAGACCATCCGTCCTGCGTCATCCACTCCAGAGAGTATAGTACAGACTTTGCAGGCACTTGCTGCCAAGAAATCAGAAGGGCCTGTGACACGTGGCAAGAGTATGTTCAGCCAGCTCTGTCCTCAAGAATGAAACTATATAATTGAGCTATGTGCTCAATGAAAAGGGCTAATTACACAGTGCCATCAGGCAATCCTAGCCTCTGCAAAGCACTTTGTCATCTGCGGCTTGAGTGAAGTGCATTGCAATAGGGGGGCCGTGACCAAGATCCGTTCCGTCCTTGGACAATACTGTCTCACCAGCTGAAGTCTCAGCGATGCTGTACTTGCTCTCGATGGGCATGTTTCGGACACCACTACTTCCAGTGCATCCAACATATCATACGCGTGCGGCGCAAGCCTTCGTAAAAATACTGTTGTAATCTATGTTCGCACGTCTAGCCATTGGTGGCCAAAGAAGATTCTCAAACTAAGTTGCCAGAAAATTGGTTGTGTTTTGTACTTTTGGGCCAGGTGCATATTGGTAGTGCTTTGGAGCAGGTGTTTGTTGAATGGCTTTTGCCAGGGCGAACGTTTTATTACCTTTGTTTGGGCTGCCCACCCAACCTGCAATTCCAAAGGGTTTGACGTCAAATGCTTTGTTTGTGCAGCACGACCTGATCAGGAAACCTTCAAGAAGCAAGCAGAAACCTTCAAGAATATGAAAAATTGCGAGAGGAACCAGGAAGCGCTGATAAAGACCACGCATTTGTGGACAAGTTTCCTAAACGCCGATACAACTCAGATCTCAAACTCTTCATCCTCACTTCGTAGGGGTGACATTTTAAAGTGCATGCTGCCTCTTCTTGCCGATGATTATACCTGTGCATCACCAGCTGCTGACATGCTGTATATTGTTGTATGCTTTGTGGTGCTTCATCAACCTTCTGCTAGTCCCGGCTTGGAAAAACTTCCAAATGATATGCTTGAGCTGTCCAAGCTTGCCAAAACCTACAGTAGAGCAAATCAAATTGGTGTCATTAGGAGCACGCCAACTTCATTAACATCCATTTGTTTCAGGCAAATGAACCAAAGCTACAAATGCAAATGTATGAGAAGAAAGGCCGGGTCCATCCGCATCCATCCAGGCTCTTTTTGCCTGTCTTCTTTTGAATCTCTCGCAAGTGACTGACTGTCTCATGCTTTATTGGCGGTTGTTGGATTCACATTCAGCTGTCCAAAGGCTTACCAAAGCTACTGCCTGTATTTCTTGCTTGTTTGGAGCCAATTGTCCTTCGGGTAGCCAAAGATCTTGTCTCCCTGAAGAGCTTTGCATTGATTGTTCAACTAGTAGTAAACGCAGTAGGAACAGGAGGAACGGAGTGAAAAATCAGAGGGTCCAAACACATGTCTCGCCTCCTTGACAACGCCAAGGGATTTGGCTGTGACTCTGGGTTTCCTTCCAACGCATCAAGAAAGCAGGCAATCCTTCTCGAAAATTTGTTTTCCCAAAAATTCTAGGAACCAGATCTCATAGCACTCAGATCAAGGTGGGGCGTCCACCAGCTGCTAGTGGCACTCCTTCGCACAGACACGGATTTAAAAATGACCTCAAACTCCATGGCACCAACATAGACATCCTGATTGCGGCAGTCTGGCAAATGCGAACAGTGATGAACCGTGCTTACTATCACTTCACCTCAAAGCACCTCAGGTCTTGACTTCAGCTCTCCATGGAGTTGCCTTCTCATCATCTGAGTCCTTCTTGAAGCTTCAGTCTGGTACAAGTACTGACAGCTCTGATCTCTGAAGTGGTACAAGTACTATATAGTTCTTTTGAAGTTTGGCAGTTGATTGTCACATCTCACTCAACATTCAATGCATAGACTGTCTTAAATTGGGTCAGCTTAAAGAAAGTGTCCTCAACTCTCGTCATTGGTGTTTCGCCCGGCTTCAGCTGCTGCAGAAGAATTCCCAGGCCGACCTGGACTGAGAATTCTTATCGCAACCAGCTCTTGCACTGCGCAGGCATCGTGCCACTAAATTTCTCTCTAGGGACACCTCCTTGCCATCTATCAGCGCCCATGCAGCTTTTCCTCCAGTGCCAGCCTAAAGATTGTCAAACAGTTGAGCAGAAAATCATAGAAAATCAGTTGAATCTCAAGACGATGAAACTCTGTTAAACAGGCGTCCACCTTCATCATCAACCCCTTCATCACATGATCGCATGTCTGATGTCAGTTAGGAATGGAAATAAAAATGTGTTGCTATGCAACAAACAGCAGAACTTCCTGTATACAAATGATGTTGCAACATTATGACATGGCGGCTTGAAGCTGCTCTGAACCGAACCTACAGTAATTATTACATATTGATGTCCAGTTTGGTTCTCGCCTTGCAGAATCGGTGTCTCCTTCCTCATGCTACTTCTGGGTTGGGACATCTTTATTTGCCATCAGGTGTCGGGAGAGTCAAAACGAACATGAAACGCCTGGAAAGTTCGGCGCCAGCCTGCATGCTTGCTTCACGTGTCAGCTGAACCCAGCCTGACATATAGGTATCGTGTCACTTCTGACACGTGCAAATGGAACGTGTCTGGTGCCTTCAATCTCATACCCTTTGAGAATATGCCCTTTGCACACGATCCCAAGCTTGTCTGCCTTTCAAGCAAGCGCGTTCAAATGCTAAATCATCTGCACGTTGAGCGTGGAAAACTGCATCGCAAAAAGGACCTTGACGCTCGGTTTGGATCGAAGCAACACAGCCCTGTGCTGCACAATGAATGTAGCCTCGGAACTGCTGTTAAGTCACACCACACAGTTGTGTCGCTGCTTCCGTGAATCATCTTCAACTTGGGTGTGTTGGCAGAATATTCTGAAGAACCTGGAGCCTAGGCAGCCCACTAAGCTCTTCCGAACCTGTCCAACTCATAACAACTCAACAAGTCTCATTTAGCAGATATTGATCATGCAACATTGTTCACCTTTCTTGTGAGTCTATCTATCCGGCTGCAAGACTGAAATGATATATGGCTTGTGGTGTCTTGTGTGTCCATTTTTTGCAGAATATCTTGTTGAAAACTCAAAACCATATACAACAAAAATAATAGACGCTGCTCTGTATACAGATAATATATATATATAATTTCTCAAAAAACTTCTAGGAATTGTCCATCTGGCTGCAGGTCATACTGCTCAGTGTCACTTGTTGACACCGCAAAGGACTTGAGCTCAGGTGGCTCATTCTTTTTTGCACCTCAAAGGCCCTGTAGAGGATTTCCACCCTCTAGAGGCCTTGAGACAAGGGCTGACACCCCAATCAAAGCAACATTCCAAATTGATCGTCGAGATCCGTCAGGCCAGGAAAATCAGAAGGCCGAGGGCCTAAATCCCATGTAAAGCGCCGGTCCTTGTTTGCATATGAATCTCGAAAAGGATGCAAACAAAAAGCACATAAAAGTCAGCTGTATTCATCCGTAGCCGTAGTCAGCGTTTCAAAAGGAAGAATGAGCAAACGACATGCACATGCCTGCACTCCTGCACTGCAATGACACACAAAACAATAAATTCATGAGTCTACAGAACTCGGGTGAATTGAGCAAGAAACAAGTCTGAATATGTTCTAGAAGAAGTGATCCTTTGGGAGTTGAACGAAAATGTACTGCGCAAAACAGCAAACAAGTTTGTTCAGAGGGAAAAACACTGTTGCGCACCCCGTGCGTTGTCACTCACATTACCTATCATGTGATTGGTGACGATGATTTTGTCTGGCCGGTCATCAACCATCACTGGGGAGTTCCCAATCGATTCTTCGTATATACTTTGTTGTTTTCGACCATCATGTATACAGTAACTGATCCCACTTGTAACTTGTCGAGCACGCACAACACGCAAATAAAAAAGTCCCATGCAAAGAAGGGCTCAGACCTGGAAAAAGGGAAACAACATGTTCCAAAATCTTGTGTTTCTGGACCCCCCCCAAAAAGGTGGACATGGAAAATAGACTGACTGCCGCATGGCGACCCCCTCAGCAATGACAACATTGTTGATCGATGCCTGAAATGTGAATCAAGATAGTCACAAGACACATTCATCTGGAAGAAGGAAATTAGAAAATAAAAACACAATAATACATCTGAAGCTAAAGCGACAGAAAAATATATAATGAATTCTGGCAAGAGACCCCAAACAGTGGGAATGAAAAGGAACACAGTAGGAAATAGACTGGGTAGAAGGCGGACCTTTTAGTCTCGCGTTGGTAAGTCTGTGAACCGTCCGCAGGGGCACCAGGAAAACAAGGCTTGTGGCCAGGCGCAAGAGAGAAAGGACTGGACTTTGATTGTTGCTCGTGCTGCATTCCTGCATTGGGGGAAGCGCCCAGCGTAGCACGAGGAAATCAAAATCAATCCCTTTCACGCCTGCAGCCAATGTCCAGAAGAGTGTGTCCAAAGGTTGCATGTTCACTCAGCCGCAGATCCAGAGTTTCGTGTCTCAGGGACTGAAGTCATCCAGTGGTTGCATCTATTCGTCCGTGAGCAAACAGTCCAAGTAGGACGGCGTCGCAGGAGGAGCGGACAGTAAGAAAAAAGTACTCTGGCCATTGCCTGTGCACTCGCACGGCTGATCACCACAATCTGCGCGTAGGACAACTGGGTTTGTGCCCGCAGGGACGTAGGGAAGCATGTGCACGGCGACCAACCAGTTGCAACAATTTTTTCAAATAAAAGAAACTGTGGCCATTGCTTGGTGGCCCACACGTGCAGCACAGTGTGCGCGAGGAAGTTCATGTCGAACCATGTAAATAGTTGTGAAGTGGGTGCCGGGGTGCACGCGGGTGAGCAGAAGACGGCCAGAGTGTTTTCGTGCAAGGGAAAGGATTCGGGTCACTTTGTGGCCACCACGCGCCTGCAAGTTCACAAGCGCTGCACACGAAAGGCTCACAAAATCAAAGCGCTGCGCCTGCCATGGAAGCTTTCCTCTGCATGGAAGCTTTCCTCTGCTTGTGCACTTCCAACCTTGACAAAACCTTCCGCCTTCCACAAAAACTGCACTTCAACATTCATAAGTTCTGCATACATCAAGAGTCACATCGCACAGCCCTGGCGTCTCGCAGCAACAAAAAGCTTTCCAATCACAACTTCAAGATACCAAGCACCGCTTTCCCTCTATATAAGTATATATATATATTATATATTATATATATATATCCACATTTCCCCTGACTTCTGGAAAGCCAGCCAACGTCCAAAGGTCAAGGTTCACCGTGCTTGCCCTGAAATCAGTCCAAAGCGCTGCACCTGCCACGAAGTAATACGAAATACGCACGTCGCAGTAAAGCCGCTCCGATCCCCTGTGCCACGACAAGTGACCACCAATTAAATCCGAGAATTGAAAGCGCATTGCGCCACAACGAGAGCACCTGTTCGGGCCCAGCAGTTTCTGCGAGCCTGCGCAGTTGAAATGCACTTCGATTATCTCGAGAGGCATGAATGTAAGCGTAAATAGCAGCGAATTCGCCGGACCCGGATGCGATTGAACCCGGCCTCACCAATTACCGTAAGAACCCCTAGTGTGACCTGATGTGACCTTTTTGGGGGATTAATTAAGTAGAAAAGATAGCTCCAAGCTCTTGCTGGACTGATGAGGACTCACCGACTACCCTGGCATACTTACTTGGCCTAGTGGCCTGGCGCCTCTTCATTTGTCCATTCTCTGCAAAGTCCCAGTTTTCATTTCCATAGGCCCGGTACCAGGAGCCTCTCAAAGCTTCACCGCAAGTATCAATGCAACATGCATACGCAATGTGTTAGATGTGAATGGTGCGCTCTCTATACACCATACACCATTCCTCGTGCCTGCCTGTATCTGCGTCTTTAAACTCGTACTGGAAGCACACAGCAATTCTGTGTCCTTCGAACGCAAACAATTCTTTGATCAGGCGGTACTCCGTCTCCTCAGAAGCTGGCGAAATGGTGGAACTGCAAGCGCATCTCCAACGCTGTCTGCTATCAAAAACCCCTGCCTTTTCCCACTTTTCTCGAAGAAAGCGAACAATAGCGTCTCTTCCCTGGAAGAAGCAATCTCGGTTCCGCCAAATGCAGTCCTGTGAAAGTCAAAGGCTGGAAAGGTTGCCTCGTAGGGCTACACCCAACACAAAAACATGTTGGCGCGTACTGCCACAGACGCATTTGGGAACACGTGAAAGACATTGAAAGACACACTCACGTCAATACTCTACCCAATTTGACTCCAACCCTTCGTCCTCAGTGTATGCCAAGCTCACCTTCTCAGGATCTCGAGAATTCCAGGCATCTTCTGCCATGCGAACCTTTTGCTCAGCATCAGCCAAATTGAAAGGTGGAAGCGGAGGGCGAACCACCCTTGGCGCCCAAGTTCATGAGACGCCAAATCAAACTGAACGAGACGAGGGAGTATGTATGACAATCACTCTGATTGCGGGTTCCCACCCCGCCTCGCGAAAATGAATTAGGGACTACGTAGCTGCATGGGTTAGCCTCTCCTCTTTGGACTCTCGCAAAAACTCGGTTTGGAAGGCCTGAAGAAAACAAGATGGAACCCACGAACCCGAATGCGCACATGAACTAAGACTTCACGCACTGGAGAACAAACGGCCAAACATCGTTTGACAGTTGAGCCATGCTGAAAAGCTTGATAGATTCCTATGTCGTAAGAACTGCCTTACGCGAAAACTTACGCGGGGGTGTTGCTTACACCGCTGCTTACGCCACCTTACGCCATTGCAGGCTTTGCTTACGCAGCATCGATATGACATAACCTGGAAATGTCTGGCTTACGCCAAAGCTTATGCAGAGCTTACGCGACCGCAGTTTTAGCTTACGCGGGGGGAGGTTTTCAGCATGGCTCAGTTTGACACTCTTGTGGCGCACCCTTGTAGGACACTCTTGTGGGCAACACTCTTGTGGGACATTCTGGTACGACACTCTTTGTACAAAACAGTCTTGTGGGAGACACTATTGTGGAAAACTCTTGTGGGAAACTCTCGCGCGACACTCTAATGGATCTTATGGGACACCCACTCTTGTGGGACACTCTTGTAGAAGACACTCTTGTGGGACACTCTCGTGGGACTCTCACTCTTGTGGGACACTCTTGCGGGACATTCTTGTGGGTCACTCGCGCGTGCGACACTCTTGCGGTGGGACATGCGGGACAACACCCTTGTAGGACACTCTTGCCGGACACTGTTGCAGGACACTCTTGTACGACACTCTTGTGGGACACCCTTGTGGGACACTCCAAAATGAGCTGCTTCTTTCAAGACACTTCCTCCAAAAACTACGCAACGTTTCTTAGTTGAAAGCGAGCGTTTCGTTCTGGACTTCCAAAAGCCACACAGTGCTTCGCAGGAGAGTTCCTCCAAAAGTCACGCATCAAAGCCTCCAAAAGTGAAGTGGGCAGTCTCACCCGGGCAAACGGATCAAGCAGCCCCGCCAAGGCAGTTTCGCAACCCCAGCCCCTCAAAGCCTGCCGAGACACCAATCTCACTGTTACAGCGACATTCACCTCCACCCAACGTCGCAACCTCACGATGCACCCACAAACATTCAACTTCTACACCTCCAACACGCGCAAAAGACTGCGCCTGCCACGAAAAGTGACGACATGACAAGTGACAAATGTCTGCAGCAAAATTTGCACCGCACCAGGCGTTTGGAGTGATTTTGACACTTTTCTGGCACACTCACATCCACCAAAGCCGCAACTTTAGCTGAGACTTGTCACGAATACACACCTTCGAGGCAACAGCCCCAACCCCAAATCCGACTATCAACAGTGACATCCAACACCACCAACAACAAACCACCCTGCAAACGCTAATCCCACTGTCACAGCGAAGGTAACCGAGGATTTCACAAATCGCTGCACCTGCGCAGCAAAATCATCCTCCACTCCTCCACACTTCAACATATTACATTTCCACGCTATTTCACACGAGTCTGGCACTTCATGCTTCCATCCGAAACCTCCCGAAAGCTTCCCCCACTGTCAGCGCCATAGCATCCATAGCGACCCAACCACGAACGGTTGTGGTTGATTGCGGACGGTTGCGAACGCTACAACAACGCGTCGCAAACAAGACTCTATTCCGAGACCCCCCCAAAGTTAAACGGGGACCCTTCCCTCCACATTCGGGAACAATCTTGGACAGGCTTACCAAGAATCTTGTGATACCACCCAGGTCAAGCCAAAGGTAGAGCCCGGAAACGGGTTATTTCAATTTGTATTAGTTATATGTGTAATGGATTGCTTAGTTGTGTTCATATGTTTCATCTCAGTTCCTGTGCCTTTATCTCTTCACCCGTCCATGTCTTTTTCGGCTGTTTTTTTGCATTCAGTCTACACAAAGCAGGTTTCCCTACTTCCTACCAGCTTGACGCGGGATCTCCTTTTGCGTTTACCACACCACCTTTAGAAACAGCAAGTAACTGCGACGTCATTCTGGTCGAAAAATGCAGACGGGAGCGCAAGCCCAAATGGCCCAAACGCATCATGGCAACTTTCGGTTCGTCCAACAAGTTGAGCTGATATTGGCTACAGCTGCAAACATTTGAATGTTGCAAAGCGGTGGTTTCACTGGCACATGACACATGGCCCACATGGCCTCTTTGCCTGACTCGGTTTTGGAAGACTGCACCTGCCCAATAAGCTGTCATGGTTCGTCAATGCCAATCCACAGTGCGAACGTCAACTACAATACAAACGCATTGAGTCACTACACTAAGACGAAAAGATATGACATGATATGACATTGCAGGATTGTATCACCAGGCAGTTCTCGGAAACTGACCGTATACAATTTCTCGCTGTCGGAGATAGGAGCTGCTGACTTTGTGGACATAGCTTTCCCTCCTGACCGTCCGGTATGAGCAGAATGTTCAAAGCACAAATCAACAGGCAGCGGCAGGAAAAATTAAATAATGACCTCCTCCTTTTTCCTGACAAACCGCCCACAAAAACTGTCTATATAAAGGCGGGCTTTGATCATCCGATCTGCAACACAAATGAAATTGAATCAACACGGGCATCCTTTCAGGACCACATCAATCGGCCAAGATGGCGAGTATGGATTCAAAAGCGCATCTCGCCAAAGGTCTATACAAACTAATACCAGGCCGAATCAAACAAGGGGCTTGGGGTCCAGCCAGCAACGCGCCGGCATTTGACACCCAGTCCACTTCATCACAAATCAAATAAGTCATACTTAATAGATGGAGCGGGCATTGCCTTTTTCTCCTCCTTTGGCTGCTCCTTTGGCGGCTCAGTGCTTCTTCCGAGCCGTCCCAAATCTGCCAAGAAACTTCCAACGGATTGTTTTCCTTGATCTTCTGCACCCTGCGTCTCCTCCTTTGGAACTTCTTTGACCTCTGCTTTCTTCCCTTCGGCGCGCCTCCTGGCTTCCTCAGCCCTTCTCTCCTCCTCTGCTCTCTTGGCCTCTTCACGCTTTCTGGCCTTCTCAGCATTCCGCTCCTCTCTCTTCCTGGCTTCCTCCGCCCTCTTCT